CCTAGAAATGTGGCCAAATAATAAGGCCATAATTTTGACGATGTCTCATAATGATTCAACCCAAAATTAATGCCATTAATCTTTACTCATCTACTCTCTCAAACCAGGACATTAAGCATATCCCTATTTCTCGCAAAAACTTACACAAGAAAATTTTAGGAGTAGTATACGTAAGATATAGAGACAATTTTATTTCCCTTGATGAGGAATATGAGCTTTGTTATTACTAAATTTGGAGTTGCAACACTCCCCTTAGTAAAGCTTCATCTTTGCCAATAAATGGCAAGATTAACAAGATCTTACTTAGTTTGCCTCTTAGTCTTCTATATTTCTTATTGATTTACCAACTGATAAATCAAGTCAACCATGGTCCACTTTGTCTTATTGAATATTACTAATTAATATGAAAAATGTCCATAGTAGTTTAATGGGAGAAAAATACTATGAAATGGACAAGTAGCGCATAGAAATATACGATGTCCATCCCACTAAGTTTGAACGCCATATAAGTTATTTCTTATTGCAAACTTTCTGATTATGGTGACAAATATGCATATGCACTAAAATTTTACTTAGCATTGGTCTTGACAAACTATAAGAGCTCGTCTCAACATTTGCTAGATATGGCTTTACATTGTCAAGCTCAAAATAATCCCTAATACATACGGATGATAACCTTCGTATACATTAGTGACATGCAAAATATAACATTATATTGGTCTTCCCCCAGGCTAATATTTCATCAAAATGCCTCTTGAGTTAAGGAAAACATTATTGATACTAGCTCCAGGAGCCACAAGGGATCCTTTGTTGTCACGCTAAGAAATTTCCAAATAGGATTCCAAGCAGAATATGCATTAAACCCCTGTCCAGGACCGGCCAGGGTGCACAAACGACAATGTTAACATACAGATCCACGTCTTACAAATATATAAAAAGTCTTACATATGCAGCGGAAATTAAAAACAAGCTAAACTAGATAACTTGGCGCTTGCAGCATGACGGCTCCAATCCATAGGCATCCTTGACGGCACGGATGAAACCTACTCCTCCAAGTAACCTCCATCTGACGCGTACTCCAACTCTTGGGGGTGGGAGACAGAGCAAGACTAAATACTACCCATTGTACTTAGCAAGACATACCGGACGAGAGGGTATGATGCATGAGATATACAAGGGAGCTAGGGGTTTATTTGCATAAAGCAGGCACTTTAAGACAGTAGTTGAAATCAGTAAAACTGTTGAAGTAATTAATCAATATTAAATAATCACTATCCAATGCTACACCATGTTGCGACAGTCCCAAATCAAGCACCTGAACTATACCAGTTCCATTAAGTCAAATTATTAAGCATGTGACTAATCACGGTGAATTTGGTTGATCGCCAATAACCGCAGGTAGGGCTATTCAAATAGTTTTACTCTGATCAGAGGTGTACGACTGTACCCACAAGACACAGCCCCACAACACGTTTCTGTGCGCCGACATACCACCATGGTACCCTGGAAAGAGATTGTGACAGGACCCTTCGCATAACCACCTCTAACCAAGTGCACCACACCTCAGGTTTCGCCCCCACTCCTCAACATGCAGAGGGCAGCCCCCTCTCGTGCCTAGGTGAATCCGGAAGCCGCATAGGCCGTCACAGGGCCCATCCAAACTCCGTCACGCCCACCCTTGGCTGGATACGTCAGCTAGAGGGGAACTAGTAACTACACTACAAGCCTATCCGTTGCCCACGCAGGCTTGTGCTAAGTATGATAATTCTTCCAGGGTTTCCTGCGAACCGATCCTTACATGCCATGGGCGCGTCTATCAAAACCATGCGCCCATAGCCCACCATTTAGCATATTTTAAGTATACATTAATACCAGGGTGGCCTATCCTTAAAGTTAACATCATAGGGACTAAACTAAATAATCAAGTGAGATACCCCTTTAGTGTGCTATTTTATCTAAGCATGGCTCACCTAAACCAGCAACTAATCATATTATTGCCCAAGCTATCAAAGGAACATGATACACAAATTTTATGGCTGAGAACAATAGGTAAATAAACCTATAAAGTGGCATTATAAAACAATGCAATATTTAAGGAAAAGTAAGGCATTTGCGAAATGGGCACAATATGTTCAAGTGAAAAGCATGACTTGCCTTGCTCCGGTGCTGCTGGAACCTCTGCAACAACCTCAAACTGTACGAGAGTGTCGGAACTGCCTGGTTTCTACACGGCATACAAGGCACACAAGCAAAACATGCTATAAGACTATCAAAACAGGAAACAAAGATATTTTTAATGGATTCTTTGCATTTTTATGGATATACTGAGACTTGAATGGACTTAAATGGAGCTCGGATGAATTTTCTATGAATTTTAAAAGATTCTTTGTGTTTTTACTATAAACAGAAAACACCTGAACAAATTATTGTGCATTAAACAAAAGGCGCTGCGTCAGTAAGGGGAGGGGCAGCGTCGACAAGTAGGCCTCACTCGTCGGTGACACCAGGCACTAGTCCACCATGGACCGGGACCACCGCAGCGGTTCACCGCCGGTCCACGGGGACAGGGCACAGCTCGGGACAAGCCGGCCCGGCGACGATGGATCACGTGGCCACCGACGGCAACTGCCGGCAGTGCGGGGAGCGGCGGCAAGCGGCGACACTCACCCACGGCGGTGGCGCGGCACCAAGGCGTGGCAACGGCGCACCACGGCAAGCCACGGTGCGGCAAGGAGAGAGAGGAGGAAAAAGAGGAAAGGGGAGGCCTCACCGATGGCGACGACGAGGGCAACGACGGCGGCAAGGGGCGGACGAGTTCCGGAGTAAACCTAGGAAGAAAATGAGAGGGATTAGAGAGAATGAAGGTGCGTGACTAGCAGCATTGCCGGCCGAAGACGGCTGGAATGGAGGGCTTACTACATGTGAGGGAGAACGAATTCCGGTGGCGAAAGGTGACGTGCGAATGGCGGATAGTGTAGCCCCTGAGCTCGTGAACCTGACGGCAGCGGCGGCGCGGCTGCTAGTGGTGACTAGTGGTGGCCGGAGTGGTGGCGGCGGCTGCGGTTGCAAGAGCGACGACGCGAGTGCGATTGAGGGCATGGGAATGGATAGAAAAAGAGGGAAAAAGACACGGGAATCATTTTTATAGGGGCGGGGTGGTCGGACGTGGCCGGTAGATGCGGTTTCTCCAGTGGCGACATGGGGGAGAGGGGAGAGAGAGAGACGGCGGGATTTCGAAAACCGAATCTTGGGTCTCGGCCTCCTCGTGGGTGCGGGTGTGTGGGAGAGTGGGGCATGGGGCGCGGTAGTGGGCGACGGATGTGGAGGGGTGGGTGAGGTGGCACGGGATGCGCAGGAGCTGCAGTTGCGGGGCAGTGTCTCCGCCGGCCGGATGTTGAGGAAGGGCCCGACAGGTGGGCCCCACCTGTCGGCGACCTAAGCCATAGGGAGACGTGGCGGCTGTTGGGCCTTGGCCATGGGCCGGCCCAATGGAAACGCCCACGCGGGAGGGGAAAATGGGCCAAAAAAAATGGCGCATTTCCGAAAGGAGAAGAAAAAAAGAGATTAGGGATTAATTAAATTCTGATAATTGGTTTTGTTATTAAAATTGCTACCGTTGCTCTGAAAATTCCGCTAAAAATTCAGTTAATGTATTAAAACATAGGGAACTCAAGAAAAATTCCACCATATAATTTCCCATTATTAAATGTATTTATTATTTAGGGTTTAGCTCTAGGTTTAATTAAACAATTTCTTTGAGCAATTTATTTATTGAATTTTAAAGCTAGGAAAGGGTAAACTTTGGGGTGTGACATTTGTCAATGCTAAGTCAAACTCAAGAAAGACTTATGCTCAGTTAGATCAGTGAGAAAAATAATTCAATAGACTTTGACTGATAAATAACATTATTTATTGCTGGAATATTAAGTGGCATTATTATTGTGGTTGCCTGTGAAAATAACGTACATTAGTACAATTACTTACACAATAATGACAACTTAATCTTTATTTCTCTTTGAATCATAGTTGGGTAGAGACAAAACACAGGAATCATTAAATGAAATTACTTATAATCTAAAATCAAGTCACTGTTGGGCGTAAATGATTAGGGAATAAATAGTATTGTCTTAAATCACATCACAGTTGGGCAGAGGTGACAAAGAAAATAATATTGTAAATACTAAATTTAAAATCCTAAATCTAATTTGCCATAAGGTAGACATGATATAGGAAATAATATAGTAGGTAGTGTTTTAAAATCCTAAATCAATCACCATAAGGTAAATTGACGTAGGAAATCAGTTTAAAATCCTAAATCAAATCACCGTAATGTAGAAATGATATAGGAAATGTGTTTAAAATAATGCCATTAGTAATGACATGAAATTAAAATCCTTAGACACATCACCGTTTGGCAAAAATGGTAAAGCAATTAATAAGCTTACTAACAAATTAAAATCCTTAATCACATCACCATAAGATAGAGGTGATAAAGGAAATAATAATGCACTAATGGCATGAATTAAAATCCTAAGTCATATTACCGTTAATGCCAAAATGACATAGGAAATAATAATTACATTTAAATTTTCCTCAATTATATCATCGTTGGGCAGAAAATAACCAAGGAAATAGTAATCTTAATCTTAGTAAAATTATAATAACGTGGGTCAAAATAACTCCATATCTTAATTCTTTCTAGTTAAATTTTTTGCTAGATAAACTTCCCGTTGGTTCCATTTAACTAGAAATAATTTTGTGAGTGATCAAATAATTGATCATAATTTTCTATCGATTTTAAATTAGCTAAGGAAAGGCATAGAAAATTATGGAAATATTTAATCATAAATGATGGGCTTAAAATAAAAAAAAACTTAATTTTGCCTATCTTCGTGAAAGATGTCCCGGTTTACACGCGCGAGCGTGAGCGGGCTAAGAGCTGTGGCGGCGCGGCCCATGAAATCTGTGACGACCCGATGCAGGGACGATCTGATGGACAGCTCGGATTCGTCCCACACCGATGAAATTACCGCCCATGTGCAACCCTAGCCCTCATTCTCTCCCCTTCTATTCCCCGATCCCCTTCTCCCAGCGAGCGTGAGACTGTATGGCGGCGATGACAGAGATGGCGGTTCGGTGAGGTGTAGCACGCGTGTGACGATGAGCGCCGAGTAGAGTGGCACATCTGTGCTAGCTGGAGGGTGCGCCCGTGGGCAGTGCCAAACCATGGCGTGGCGTCTGCGGTCCAGCGAGGTGGACGCGCAAGCGGCGCCGAGCGTCACGTGGCCCGGACCTTGTCGGCGGGGGAGCGAAGGCCAAAGGCGGCGCCAAGCTGATGCTTCCCATCCCGGTTAGTCGGCGACGGTGGGGGATCTCCAAGGTTGCGTGCGCACAGCAACCGCGAGGAGGAGAAGGCAAGGGCACACCGAGGAGACGCATGGGCAAGCCCGTATGGCGCCGACGGCGGCGATACCGCTTCTCGACGAGACCAACACCGCAGTGAGGTTTCCCGGTAGAATTAGGGCTCCAAGTCCGGTAAGAATCTGAACTCAAGCTTAATTTTTATTTTTTGGGTTTCTTGATTTTTTGGGGATTTTGTTACTTAGGGTTCTTCATCCGAATCAGGGTTCTTCTCAATTTGGGGATTTTGGGAAAATTGAAACCGATTGATCTCATTCTTCCCTTCCCTTAATTTCTTAATTCTACTGCTAAGCAATTAACAAAAGATTAAATCTTGAATTTAAAACATGCAAAGAAACAGTATATATGAAGGGCTAAACCGAGCTAATTAACTTAGATTGAAAAACAATTCTCACTTATTTTCATCATGCCGAATTGATTAGGATTTAATTGGCATAATGGCTTCATTAGGGATGATGGAACATCAAGGCTAAGATTAGGCTCTGATACACAATGTTGGAGTTTAATCCACTTAACTACTTAAGTTCTTAGCCTAAACATGATCACCTCTGCTTAATGCGGAAATTGATCTAACTGACCTGAGATGAAGCCATTGAACCAGATGTTAGGTTTTGTTTTTGTTCCTTCGATCCTTCTTTCTTCTTCTCTGTTAAGGAAAAGAACACACAAGAGATGCCTCACGAACCATCAAACATTCATTGTACGTAAAATAAATTCTAATGACTAATATGTCTCACCATTTATTATTAGCTTTCTCACTAGAGTACTCATTTTTTGATAGCCTACTGACTGACTAATGCCCCAAAAAAGGCAGCCTACTAGCTAGTATATTACCATAACCATCTTCCTCCATGGCAACCACAATTGACTCGCTGCTTATTTGCTGTGTAGAAAAGTGTGTATTGAGTACTAGTACTAAGAGGGTTCAGGCGTCCAGCGCTGGGTGATATGACCAAGCCTACTATGGATACAACAGTTGTTCATATCATTGATCAACAAGAAGATCAAGTCGTCTTAAGTGCTGAAATCCAATTCGGCCACCTGCTACATTGCTGACTTCAACTGGCCACCAAATGCGCATACGAGCTCTGTTTTGGGTCCATGAGTATTTGATAAAAAGCTCCTAGAGTCCTCTCTCTAATGGTTCTAGCCTCATCTCTAAATTCCACCTCAATCGGCCGCAATAATAGAAACAAGGTGTTGCATCACTTATAATGGGCCTATGGGTTTGTAACTCCATCTGGGACCCCAGCCCAAGTGGGGTGCACCCCAACCTAATGGAGCATGACAGAACCCTAGGTCGTCCTCCCATATCCATAAATAGCTATGTACCCCTTCAGGGCCTAGGGACCCCTAGATCATCCTCCCACCTTCATAAAATAGCTAGGTACCCCTTCAAGGTTTATTGGGTTTTGTTTAGTAAAAAGTTTAGCAATCACTACTTTTCCTTGTACTTACGTGTGTCGGCTTGACCGCTTAATTATTCGCCTTTGGAAACCCACCTTATCTTGAGCTTTAATTCATAATTGTAATTCATAATGCTTTTATCTTGTTTTTGCTTGTTTCCTCGATTTGCTTGCAGGAATAAGGTTGGTCTGCATCGGCACGATCAACAGCCCACAAAGAGGTGTGTCGATTCCTAAGGCACAACACAACAACGCCTTGTACGGTTTTAGTCTGGTCGTCAATGTTTTCTCTCCCAGATCGTGGTTATCTCAACTCACCGAAAGGTCGGGCCAATCAGAGCTTTGAGCGTGTCAAGTCGAACTCAGAGTTTATCAAGTGGTATCAGAGCAGGAATTCTATTCACACCCTCCCCCCCGGATGTCTTTGATCCTACACTATCCTAGTCCTTTTTTGATTGGGTGGTATATTTATGGCACTGATTATAAGCCATGGAAGAAGAAAAATAATTTATGGGCAAAAGTTTTATATCCATATTTTTTAGCGATTTAAATGCTATTGCTAAAAAAATACGCTATAATGGAAAAACCTCAATATCAACTCTAAAATGGAGTATAATTTAAATTTTGGCTATGGTTGATAAGACAACAAGGAGATGATGAACATCGGTCCTCTACATAACATTTTCAACTTCTTTTCCCTTACCGAGTGGGTTTGAGATGGTATAGCATAAGATTTTTTTTAAAGGAGACACACAATTAATTAAACTTTAGACAACATGGGTATAGTCTCAACAAAGCCCATTAGTTATCAGAAAAACAACAGCAAGAGTTTCCATTCTAGTGACGCGATAACTTAACAAGCGAATAGTTTTTTTTCCCTTCGATCTATTTCCTCGTCTTCTCAAGGCTCGACTTCGTTGCCTCCCTCAAAGCGGCAATGCCTCCTCCAAACCTAAAACTCTATACTCTATAGCCCAATCCGCTCATTTCTTTCTCCGACTCCTCAATCATTGTCCCCTGCACCAACAGCATCCCCACCCTCTTCCCCCCTCCTACACTAGATCTGGAGGCTAGGGAGCTCATTTGGGACCATTGGAATAAGGCCATCCCAAACCCTACATGTCATCTAGTGTCTATAGCATTAAATTGATTGCCACATAAGCAAAAATCTGATGTGGCAAGTGAATTAATGAAGAGAGAGGTAACAAGATGGAAACCATTTCTCATGCAAGAAACCATCTCTACACAAGAACCAAGAATAAAAACATGAGGATAGGTGGATAAAAGGAGAGAGAAGATAGATGATTGGATGAGAATTTAATGTGAAGACACTATCCATTGGATATATAGTTTCTATACATAGTGTCTATATAACATGACAAGTATAGAAATTACTTGATAGTTTCTGGGTTGGAGATGGCGTAAGAGTTAATCAACTAGGAGGGAGGCGACAGCGACAACGATGGTGGCATTATGTACCCGGTACCCAACTATTAGGTACCAGACCCGTTACCTAGGGTCTAGTACCTAGGGTATTATGTACCCGGTGCCCAACTATTAGGTACCGAGGCATGGGGAAGGGGCAAGCACAATCATCGCCTGGTCAACCGGCGAACCACCTACTGCCTCATGGTGGATCCACTGCTGGGGTTGGTTGGGGCCCATTGCATCTATTATGTTTCTTCCTACTTGTGATGCAGATCGAGAGGGACTTCACCGCCGCACGCCTCCATTGTCGCATTGGCCTTCCGCTCGCTGGCACGCCAACGAAGCCACCGCCTCTGTCGTTGTCATCAATGCCGCATCCCGATGTTCCACCCTACTCCATCGCCGTGGCCTTCCGCTCGTCATCGCCCCAACGATGCCGCCGCTGCCATCGTTGTCGTCTACCGCTGCCGTCATCAGGGCCACATCATGCGCCTCTCCCTTGACTTTGCCGTCGCGGCCTCCATGCGCCTTCTCGTTGACGTGGCATCCATATCCTCCGTCCTTGCGCCGGCCTCGAACACCTCTGCCCTGCATGGATTTGGCCAGCGGTGCAAACTCAGCGGGGCAATCGCCGTCTTCTCCCGGCTCTGATTTCTGTCGTTGCGGCCTCCGCCGGTATGGAGGAAGCCCATGGTGGCGATGGGGTTGGGGGTGAATGGGGGAGGGTGGCGAGCTCGAGCACCACCACGCATGTCGACGGCCTTCTTTTCACCAGCGTCGACCATCCCTGCCTCGCATAGAGAGAGAGAGGGACGGGGAGGAACTCGGGGATGTTTGAGTGTGTCACCCTAGGGACAAGAGGAAGTGGGGGAGAAAGAGGAGGAAGAATTAGGGGTAGTAGAGGCCGACATATGTACTCTAGTTTCATGAACTCATAATAGAGAGGTTAGATGGAGATGCTGTTAGATTAGTGAGAAATAAATTTGGCTTGCCAAATTAATTGGATAGCTGACTATATAAATATTTGGAGGATCAAATTTAGATAGTCCGTTGGTAGTCTTGCATTGTATCAACTTAAAGCATGAGCCATGCCTGGTACTCACCTAATTGAGCTTATGATATTCTACCTTAATTTATTCTCGCTGGAGTATGAGAGAAGACATGGTCAAGTTGGCCGCTATCACAGTCCAAATAAATAGTAGTCCATGTCTCCATGATGCGCTGTGGCGTAAGGCTCGATTGCGTCATCCGTGTGCCGTCACCAGTATAGCGCGAGCGATTTGCCTTTTCTGCGTGGCCTCGTGACGATGTGGGGATGCATCATCAGCATGCACCGTCACGATTAGCAGCTTAATTATGCACCACGGGCAATTTCGTCCTGGGCCACTTGCCTATTAATAAATGTTGACCTCCCAACGACCGGGTCTTTCACAATACTATTATATTGCAGTGTCTTAAGCATCCGAGGGGTTTTTAAAACGTTGTGCAGATGCAGATTGTTCGTCAAAATGAATCTTAACTAAAGAATAAGAAGATTGTATATTGTGAATAAGACCATATAAGATGGCTTGTGGGTCTCTAGTGTTCTTACTGTTGGTTGATCAACAGAGGCGACCAAACTATCCTCTGGTTTTTGCTTAATGTTATTTATGTCTACTTTGGTGTAAAGGGTAATAAACTTGAATGAAATTCATTTTTGGTGAGCACTTCAGTTCAGTTGGATTGCAATTGTTGCTTATAATTACCATGACTAGATACTCCCTCCGTTCACAATTTTGAGACATGTTACGTCTGGGTGCCAAGACGAAGGAGAATTTAATCATTCCTGTAAATTATGCATGCATGCTGATTTATTAATGGGGACTTGATAACCCTAGACATCAAGACTGTGCATGCATACATGTGCATCGAATCCGCATGGCTAGGAACGTAATTGTGATTATTGGACAGGACTTAATCCCCCCTGATTTCCAAGGTTGTGAAGGCAGATATGCGGACATGGGTACTAAAATTGGCGGTGTATTAAATCCCACACACGGAAGAAGTGGCCTCCCAAAGTTATATGCTAATCAAATATGAATATTTTTGTTTTGGTAATGTGATGATCAATTATGAACGAAACGAAGGGAGTAAAGCTTTCTTTGTGCCCACCTGGTTTCAGGTCAGGTTAGGTGACAGTCCAACTAGCACCAGGTAATTACTGCACTAACTACTGGCTGACAAAATAATTGTGCATGTGGTAAATCTCTGGAAACAAGCATTTTCTATTAAAAGAACATACAAACTGCCTTTGAAAAAAAAAATTGTAGTTCCTCACCGACCTTTCGGATCGAGACCTGTGGTTTGGTGGGAACGGAAGTGACGGTCATACAGAGACAGCAATGAATCTGCAGGCCCACTGCCCCTTGGTAATTAATAATGTTAATGACACTAGTAATCCCTCGATCTCACGGAATTAAAAGGTATAATCGATAAATAATTCCCGGCACGGCGGTGCGCCCACACCACCACACGCGTCGCGCGTGACTGCAAGCGGATGCACGTTCCCGTCTAACCCTGCTATCTTTTCACTCATATCTATACTTATGCTTATAAAATAAAATTTAAATTTCCAACCTTAAATTTAAAATTGATTTTAAGGTTTTTATCGAGATTTATTTTCAAGTATTTACTTTCAAATCATTAAGATTATGTATATAAAAGTATATGTATAAATTATTCTTCATTTGTAATATGTCGTTTGGTTTATTTCCCGAACAAGGGAAACAACGGGGCGGGACGCCGCTAGTTTGCTTCTTACTACTACATTCAACTCCATCCATATATAGGCTACAGGTACTGCTACACATATATAGACCAACTACCAGTGGAGGAAATGGAAGCCCGATTGAGCACGGGGGAGAAGACGAAGAAGATGGCGACGACTTCTCGGCCGTCGTCGCCGCTGCCGCCGGAGGAGGAGACGGCGGCGGAGACGACGACGAGCGAGGAGGAAGAGCAGCAGCAGATGGAGAGGTTCTACGCGCTCGTGGCCAACGTTCGGGCCCTGAGAGCCATGTTCAAGGAGGCAGCGCTGCCCAGCTGCCGCGAAGACGACGTTAGCGGTGGCGGTGGCGGGGAGCAGCGCCAGAAGAGGCCGAGGGCGGCGCCGTGGCGGCCGGCGTTCGAGATGGCGGTCTTCGAGTGCGGCGGCGGCGGCGGCACTACCACCGACGACATCGAGGCGGCGACGACCAAGGGCCAGGACGGCAACTGCAAGAAGGGGAAGAGGAGCGAGGCGAACGCAGCTGCAGAGGAGGACAAAGGCGAAGTTATCGAGGGGAAACCAGTCGCCATCGCCATCGTCGCTGACGGGCCTGGTAAGTCGACGACGATGCCCGACTCGAATTGACGGCCGGCCGGCCCTGACCCTGACCCTGACACCGATGATGTTCTTGTGTACGTACGTGTGCAATATCTTTCATGCTCTGCTCCGGTGATATATATTTGTGACCAGATGAATTAATTGTGTGATGAATTATATATTTGTGACCAGATGAATTATATATTTGTACACAGATGAATTATATATTTGTGACCAGATGAATTAATCAGGACATCAGTTTGAATTCACACAAAGCAAACGGCGTGACGCCGTAACTATCTCACGCCACTGAATTCTGATTCTCTAGAGTCTAGGCGGAAGATTTAAATACCGGATGTAAATACTGGAGTACTTCCGATTATATGTACTCCCTACGTTTCATCGTATTATTAATCGTTTTTACTTTTTTAAGTTTGATTAGGTTTGCAGAAAATATAAAAATATTGCTATATTTGACTATAAATTTGCTAAAAAACAGTCCAAACAACTTATAATACAAAATAAATAGATTAGTGTTTAAGGAGTGCCAAGTGGTACAAGTATGTGTAGTTGCTTAAGAATTAGATAAACATAACGAATTGAAACTAGATAGATTTGTAGTTTTAAGCTGTGTCTAATTCGGTATTAGCTAGTTTCAATGTTTGTAGACTGATGGATATACTGCGGCACGGGTGCACGGCACAAGATCATTAATTCGTCGAATGTTGCTACTTGGCCAACACTGCCACGAACAGGGATTGTTTTTTTTTTTACTCGAACAGGGATTGTTGATATAGGACTTGTTTAGATAAAAAAAATTTTTGGTCAAAAACGTCACATTAAATGTTTAGACATATGCATGGAGCATTAAATGTGAGGAAAAAACTAATTACACAGTTTACATGTAAATTGCGAGAAGAATCATTTGAGCCTATGATGGACCCTGAGTTCCTCTCGACACTCAAGACTGTTGTTGGCCCGATCTTTTGGTGAGTTGTGATAACTACGATTTGGGAGAAACGTTGACGATCCGACTACAACCGTACGAGACGTTGTGTTGCGCCTTAGCGATCGATACACCTCTCCATTGGTTGTTGATCTTGCCGGTGCAGATCAACCCTATTCCTGCAAGGAAATCGAAGAAACAAGCAAGAACAAGATAAAAGCAATCTGATATTGCAAATAGGAATTTAATACAAATGATAAGTTGGAGTTCCGAAGAACAAGCAGACGGACGGTCTAGCCGACACGCGCGCTGCAAGCAAGTAGCAATGGCTAAACTTCAATCTATCAAAACCCAAGAAACCCTGAAGGGGTACCTAACTATTTATAGAGGTGGGAGGACGACCAAGAGGGTCCAAGGGTCGTGCTCCACCAGATTGGGGCGCACCCCACATGGGCCCCACATAGGCCAGGGTCCCAAACAAAGTTACAAGTCCATTGGCCCAATACAGGTGACGCAACACCTTGCTTCTGTGATTGCGGCCAAACGAGATAGAATTCCGAGATGAGGCTGGATCCGTTGGAAGGAGGACTTCGAGAGCTTTCCATCAAGTACTCACGGGCCCAAAACGGAGCACGTATGTAGATTTGGCGGCCGTTTGAAATCAGCAATGTAACACGTGGCCGAATCAGATTGCAGCACATGGAGGACTTGATCTTGATGTCTTCTTGTTGATTCATGATGTGAGCAATGGATATCCATAGTAGCCATGGTCACATCAGCCTATTACACCACGATTTGACAATATGATGCTACATTAAACATTTACTAATGACGGATTAATTAGGCTTAATAAATTCGTCTCGCAGTTTACAGGTGGAATCTGTAATTTGTTTTGTTATTAGTATACGTTTAATACTTCAAATCTACGTCCGTATACTTCAAAAACTTTACACCCAAATAACTAAACACACCCATAAAATTGTAATTTATCGATCAATATAACTAATAAAAAATACATAAAACTTCCGGGTATTCTTTTCCATCCCTATTTTCTGGTTTTTTTTCTACTTCGCTTTTTTTCTCGCCTTTTTTCCGGTTATTTTTATCACTATTTTATTAAGTAGCGATTTTTATCACGCGGAAGGGTGTGTGCAAGCAGTTTTTTTAATCTGACTGTTTTTTCGTTGACGGGCCGAACCTAGCGCTGCCGCCACGTCATCTACCTCCCAAGTGTTTTCTCTTCCAATTAATTGCAAAAATCAATTTCCTACTTTTTTTTAATTACACACTACAATACAGACACTCACAACGCACGCACGCAAACCCTACCTCTATTAGGCCGGCAAATCCTTGAGATTGACGAAGTCACCACAGACACCTCTGAAAGCACAATGCCGTTAAATCCTGAAAAAATCGCTCCTATGGGGAGTCGAACTCAGGACCTAAGGTACTACCAAGGCTGTAACCACTAGACTACAAGCCCTTTCACAAATCGATTCCCTACTACTCCCTCATTATTTTCCCCATGATTTTCCCTTTCGATTCTGCTTTAATTCACTAGATTTAATCTCCATTTAAGATTCACAGTTTTTGTCCTGAGTTTTGTGCATTCGCTTTGATTTTGATAAAAACGAAAAGAGAAGATCGAGTGAATCAAAAGCCCTCAACCAATTTTGGGACATGGAAAAAGATCAACTAGATTTGATGGAGAGGATTAGTTCTGGCATCATACAGACAGAGGACTGTCTTCTGGAGGTTGAAGATGACAGTCGACTATGCCAGCTGGACCTATAGCTCCACTTGTGGACTCCAGCTGGGCCTATAGCTCCACTTGTGAACTAGACCAAAGAGAGGCAGGCCAAACGAACGGATATAGCGGACTGAGCTGGAACTGAAATGGAAGGAAGGAATGAGATTTTGGCCAAAACCAAGGAGTATAATGTATAGTGATCCAAAAATATTTTTACCCGTTGTAACGTATGGGCATTTTTTCTATTCAATTTATAAAATTGCAAGTTTCTCATGCAGTCAGTTATGTTGCCCGCGTGCAAAAAATGAAAAATACAAAAAAAAAATCAAAACCTAGCTTCGACGGTGGTGTCCACGCACTGCCGCTGCCACCGCTGCCCACGTCCCCACCTGCCGTTGTTGCAGCAAGCACGTCTTGGTCATCAACATTATCACTGTCGAGGTCGTGGAGATGAAGCAGACGCCCTCTCCACTGCTCCCCGCCCCTCCCGAGGACAGCCGGGGATGGATTTGACCCTCCCATGGCCACTGGCAATGGCAACGGATTCCTCCTTGTGGTTGCTTGAGAGAAGGGATCGAGATAAAAAAAATAGAGCTGTGATTCAAATTGAAGCTTTACCACAACATGATTTAGATCGAAGCCTTCTCTCGCCACGCTAGCTCAGGGTCCATGGCCGCCATCAATGGATCTAGCCCTTCCATGGCTGTCGCCTCCTCCTCCGTGCCCCGCCTCCCAATGACTGTCGATGATAGATCCACGACAGAGAGGGGGAGTGCCTGGTGGAGGGGAGGGATGAGGACAACCGGCGACAGATCCACGAGGGAGAGGGAGAGAGGCCATTGGAAGGGAAGAGTTGGGGAAGGCGACATGAGAGAAGGAGAGGACCGACACCACTGTTATTCGACTCTGTTAGAGTTTGTGTCGAATATGTGTATATAGTCGGTTACAGTTTAGGACTTGGAGTTGTACTAGGTATAGGACTAGAGTAAGAGTTGGACTCTGTCATAGGATCTTTCATAACTAGAGGGACGTGCCTGTTATAACCGCATGGCGACATAGCGTAGCGAGAGGGAGCGCCTGCCAGCGGCGTCTGGCCGTGAGTCGTTGTAACACTGATATGCTGTAATAAGCTGGATCGGGGAGGAGCGCCCGTAATCAGTGCCATAGAGATATAGGCCTCGGCTGAATTCCGTTATCAAATATTGTGCCTCGTGTTATAAAAGTTAGTTGATATAGCGGAATGACGACTAACCTTCCTGATCGCTTCAGTCATTGATCACCCAAGACACGCCAGATAACAACACAGGAACACACGATATTTGTTAACGAGGTTCAGCCGAAGACTTCATCCCCGGGGCTCTGATTATGGGCGCCCCTCCCCAACCAATATAGTACCTAGCCGCTATGAGTCCATGGCCACGCCACCATCATTTCCCTGCGTGTCTACGCTACATTGTAGTCGCCATGGTTACATTGTGGTGTCCCCTCTCTATTTAAGAGAGTTGCGGGTTACAGAATTCGACTCTAACTCCACCCCCTAACAACTATTACAACTCCAAGTCCAACTGTATTCAAATAGGACTAGTATATTCGACACCTATTCTAACAAACTCCACCTTGGCGAATATACGCCACCTAGAAGTAGTAAAATCACCATGCCGATCCACATGTCCTCTAGAATTGGGTTGTCTTCTTTGCAGCTTCACCGCAAGCCGCCCGATGAATCTGCGCCAGACCCGCCACCACCAAAAGCAATTGCTATCCCAGCAACCGCTTCCTCATAGACTCCACCTGCAACAATACACCCTCGCAGCTTGTAAAGTTGGGACTCCACCTTCTCTCCAGTCATCACAGTTGTCTTGCCCATCATGATCTCCATGGTCTTCCTATTCCGATTTCCGTGGAATATTAACCCATCTTTATGCAAGGTTCCAAGCGAAATCAGATTCCTTTTTAGCCCTGCTACATGCCTGACTCCCTGAAGAATATGTTCGCCTCCATCTTCTAGCTTGATTTTGACTTCACCTACTCTCACGGCCGGATAACTTATGTCATCCCCTAAGTAGACAAAACCAAAATCACCAGACTTGTATTAAGAGAACCACTCCTTCCTTGGTGTCACATGAAACTAGCTAGCTGAATCCAATATCAACGCTTCTACATCCTTAGACTGTGCACTTGACATTGTGAGAAGATCACAACCATCACTATCTGAGTCATTTGAAGAAGTCACTGCATTAGCCTTTGCTTTTTCCTTTAGTGTTGGACACTCCCTGCTTATATGCCCCCACTCATCACATCTGAAGCACTGCACCATCTTCTTCTTTTTGTTCTTCTTTACCTTACGCCCAACATGATCTTCTTTGACTAGCAAACCCTCCGCTTGAGATGTTTCACCCTCTTTGTTCTTTCTCAACTGATCACGAGCCAGCAACACAGAAGTGATATATTTAGTTTTGATGGTATCCTTGCCATACGTTAAAGTAGTCACCACATGCTCATTCGATTCAGGTAACGAACACAAAAGAACTATGGCCTTGTCTTCATCGTCAACTTCCACATCCATCTTCACA